TCACACACACAATTCTCATGCCCAAGTTGACCCATTGAACCCCCTGCTGAGTGGGATCCAAACCTTGCTCACCATCAAGAGTATATTCAGAGCTGCTGAGCTTCGCAGGTGTGTGGGAATTAGATCAACTGATGGATCAATAGATCCGTCTTCAATCCTGCACCTTTGCTCCAAGGAGCTCAGGCTGGCTTACATAATTCTCCCTTTCCCATTGTATTGTTACGCAACCCTGTGAGGTATGTTAAGGTATGAAGGCGTGGTTAGTTCAAGCTCATCCTGAGAACTTCTTGACTGAGTGGTATTTGGACCCTGGTTGGGTTGTGCCGTTTCAACTGCTACAGTGCCCAGGCTCTCTGAGTAGCAATTCAAGAGATGAGATACAGCTCTAATGGAGAAATCCACACATTATTTGAGATTTCAACAAGAACTAGACAAAAAATATATCAATTAATGAAAGACCTAAGCTGAGAACTAAGGACCTGAAAAGACAGGAGAGGGGTAACTTGTGAGATGCTTGGGTTGCCAAGACAGCTCACTGCTTCTCTCAAGGGCACCAGAGGGGATTACAGAGGATTACAGTTCATCATAGGGATGCGGGTGGTGCTGTGGGTTAAACCACAGAGCCTAGGACTTCCCGATCAGAAGGTCGGCGGTTCGAATCCCCGCGACAGGGTGAGCTCCTGCTGCTCAGTCCCAGCTCCTGCCAACCTAGAAGTTCAAAAGCACGTCAAAGTGCAAGTAGATAAATAGGTACTGCTCCGGCGGGGAGGCAAACGGGGTTTCTGTGTGCTTCTCTGGTTTGCCAGAAGGGGCTTAGTCATGCTGGCCACATGACCCGGAAGCTGTACGCTGGCTCCCTCGGCCATTAAAGCGAGATGAGCGCCGCAACCCCAGAGTCGGTCACGACTGGACCTAATGGTCAGGGGTCCCTTTACCTTTACCTTTATAGTTCATCATGTTTGAACAAGCAACAACCTTTAATCAAGATCCACTGAACTGAGAGGAGAAAGCCATTGAGGGGTTAATGTACTCTCCACTACAGGACAGCGTTCCTGAACTGTGAATTTAGTGTCTCCTCCCCTTTATCTCCTTGCTTCTGCTATAACAACTGATGGCTGATACAGTGGTACCGTGGGGTACATACGCTTCAGGTTACAGACTCCGCTAACCCAGAAATATTACCTCGGGTTAAGAACGTTGCTTCAGGATGAGAACAGAAATTGTGTGGCAGCAGCAGGAGGCCCCATTAACTAAAGTGGTGCTTCAGGTTAAGAACAGTTTCAGGTTAAGAACGGACCTCCGGAACGAATTAAGTACTTAACCCGAGGCACCACTGTATTGTTAAGCAAAATACCTAGTTCAAACCTTAAACTACACCTGTCTTCCTTCTGGTGAGACAAAACCCATGCTCTGCCTCAAGTAATACTACCAACCCATATTTTCCTCCTGTAGTATTTCCATATAAATATGCTGCCTTTTATATACTAGGTGCAAATTTTCTCTATTCTGGTGTTCCTTTGCATTCATGTAAGTGAATTTGGGATTGTGTCCTTTACTTATAATGGAGTGAGATATAAGGTGGAATATCAGCAGCAAGAATACTCATTGCAAAATACTGGAAGACACAAGATCTTCCCACACTGGAAGAGTGGCAGACGCAATTGATGGACTATATGGAACTGGCTGAAATGACGGGCAGAATCCGAGATTTGGGAGAAGAAATAATGGAAGAGGACTGGAAAAAATTTAAGGACTATTTACAAAAACACTATAAGTTGTATGAATGTTAAGAATTTGCATGATTTGGAAATCTTAGCTTTAGCAACTAGATTTGGTGAACAGGAAACTAAGTTATAAGCAAGAAAAGGTTGAAATTCAAAGTTATATTATGTTTATTTCAAGGTATAAGTAATTGATAAAAAGTACTTTAAATCCAGAAGTATAATATTTGAAAGATACAAGTAAGGTATGAAACAAGGTAATAATTTGCTGATATGTTTATTGTAAGGAACGCAGGGGAAGTCCAGTTGGTAATGTAAAAATGTTTTTGAAAGTTGGATTTTTTCTTTTCTCTTTTTTTGTTTCTTTTCTTTTCTTCTATGTTTCTTATATTTCCGACTTTGTATTTGAAAATGTAATAAAAATATTTTTTAAAAAAAGATATAAGGTGGAATATCTATTATGCAGGAAACTGGAGCAGAAAATGATCTCTGCGTAACGTTTTCTTTCCAGATAGGCAAAACTATTTTGTAATTCAGGAGCTCAGATCTTCACATTCATGTTTCTCATGGATTGCTGTCTGCTTCTTCCTTGGGTTCCTTCTGTCTTAAGTCACAATCCCCACAGGAAGGGACTCTCATCCCTTGCACCCCTTCAAGTCATTTGCATAGATTTCCATCCCTGACACTTAATAACTCCCCCAATTTTATCCCCGTCATTCTGAAGCTGGGCTGCTTGGTGGTGATAATATCTGGGAGCCAAGAAAGAGTGTCATCCACAACAGTAGCAACATGTTCCGGATTTGTTTGATTTGGCTGGTCTCCAGTTTCTTTGCAGGTAACTTTGAAGAGCTGCGTTCTTCTCTCTGAATTTTTAAGGCAAATGTTGCAGATCCACTAACTTGTTTTATGCCTCTCCTTCCAGAATCCAGTGGGCAGATCATCACTCAGACACCGGCTTCTTTACAGGCAAGTCCTGGGGACAGAGTGACAATCCAGTGCAAAGCTGCCTCTTCTGTCGGCCGTTATATGGCCTTATATCAGTTTAAATCAGGTCAGAACCCCAAGCTACTGATTTATGGGGGTTCAACCCGTTTTGAAGGGACTCCAGATCGCTTCAGTGGCAGCTACAGCGGCAACGACTTCTCCTTCACTATCAACGGTGTCCATGCCGAGGACGAAGGGGTATATTGCTGTGGCCAGCACAACACCACACCTCTACACAGTGATACACTTCAGTACAAAAACCAGCTCAGTGGCCTAAGACAGCAGGAAGGAATGGCAGTGGGTGTGTTGCAGCAGCACCGCCCTTGCAGTTTGCTGAATGAGAGGGGGCTGGAATGGAGTATGACAAAGGGGGTGAGGACCAATGGCTCTGCAGATCAACCAATAGGAAGACAGCCTGGGCCTGACTGTTCCAGGTGATCACACCTTTTCCTCAGACTCCTCCTCCTCCTATTATTATTATTGTTGTTGTTATTATTATTATTATTATTATTATTATTATTATTAACTGAATTTATATATGTCCATATGACATATATATGACATATAATTTTTATATGTCAGACCATGTCTGAGCCACAAGAAGATGTCCCATTTTTTTATTCTGATTTTGTCATAAAATTATTTGGGAAGGGGAAAAGAAGCAAGCAAAGACATTTTAAAGAGGAAGGGGGGGAAAGAACTTGGTAAATCACCACAAGACCAGTGTTTTTTTTCTAAAATAATGTTTAGGGGTACTCTCATTTTCCTACTCATATTGAAATACTGCCCTTCAATCTTCATTCACAAAATGTTTAGGGGTATGCGTCTCCCTGTGTCCCCCCCCCAGAAAAAAGCACTGCGTGACAAGACTGACCCAGGACAGATTATATTGTTTTCCAACTAATTTATGAAAACTGAGGAAACAAAGGATTATCAACCATAAACAAGTGTACCTGAGTTGATATTGGCCTATCATATTCCTGGCATGCATTCTTGTTTTGTACTCAGTATTGGAGCTTCCTGTAATTTCTGTTCAGTCTTACCTCAGACCTTTTCCTTCATGTCGAGCTTTTAGATCACAATACAGTGGTACCCCGCAAGACGAACGCCTCGCAAGACGGAAAACCCGCTAGACGAAAGGGTTTTCCGTTTTGGAGGCGCTTCGCAAAACGAATTTCCCTATGGGCTTGCTTCGCAAGACGAAAGCCCATAGGGAAATCTCCGGGACAGCGGGGAAGCGCAGCGCGTCTTCCCCACTGTCCTCGGACCTCCTCCGAAGCCTGGCGGCGGGGCGGAGAGACCTCTTCCCGCCGCCAGGCTTCGGAAGGATGCTCCGAAGCTAAAGAAGCTAAAGCAGCCTGCCGCGACCCTCTCCCGGCTGGAGAGGTGACACGCGCCTATGGCAGGAGCCTCCATAGCCGAGCGTCACCTCTCCAGCCGGGAGAGCGCGCGCGGGGCTAAAGCAGCCCCCCGCGACCCTCTCCCAGGTGACGCGCGCCTATGGCAGGAGCCTCCATAGCCGAGCGTCACCTCTCCAGCCGGGAGAGCGCGCGCGGGGCTAAAGCAGCCCCCCGCGACCCTCTCCCAGGTGACGCGGGCCTATGGCAGGAGCTTCCATAGGCGCGCGTCACCTATCCAGCCGGGAGAGCGCGCGCAGGGCTAAAGCAGCCCCCCGCGACCCTCTCCCAGGTGACGCGCGCCTATGTCAGGAGCCTCCATAGCCGAGCGTCACCTCTCCAACCGGGAGAGCGCACGCGGGGCTAAAGAAACCCCCCGCGACCCTCTCCCAGCTGGAGATGTGACGCGCGCCTATGGCAGGAACCTCCATAGGCGCCCGTCACCTCTCCAGCCGGGAGAGCGCGCGCGGGGCTAAACCAGCCCCCCGCGACCCTCTCCCAGCTGGAGAAGTGACGCGCGCCTATGGCAGGAACCTCCATAGGCGCCCGTCACCTCTCCAGCCGGGAGAGCGCGCGCGGGGCTAAACCAGCCCCCCGCGACCCTCTCCTAGGTGACGCGTGCCTATGACAGGAGCCTCCATAGCCGAGCGTCACCTCTCCAGCTGGGAGAGCGCGCACGTGGGGGCTAAAGCAGCCCCCCGCGACCCTCTCCCAGGTGACGCGCGCCTGTGGCAGGAGCCTCCATAGGTGCGCGTCACCTCTCCAACCGGGAGAGCGCGCGCGGGGCTAAAGAAACCCCCCGCGACCCTCTCCCGGCTGGAGATGTGACGCGCGCCTATGGCAGGAGCCTCCATAAGTGCCCGTCACCTCTCCAGCCGGGAGAGCGCGCGCGGGGCTAAACCAGCCCCCCGCGACCCTCTCCCAGGTGACGCGCGCCTATGGCAGGAGCCTCCATAGCCGAGCGTCACCTCTCCAGCTGGGAGAGCGCACGCGTGGGGCTAAAGCAGCCCCCCGCGACCCTCTCCCAGGTGACGCGCGCCTATGGCAGGAGCCTCCATAGGTGCGCGTCACCTCTCCAACCGGGAGAGCGCGCGCGGGGCTAAAGAAACCCCCCGCGACCCTCTCCCGGCTAGAGATGTGACGCGCGCCTATGGCAGGAACCTCCATAGGCGCCCGTCACCTCTCCAGCCGGGAAAGCGCGCGCGGGGCTAAACCAGCCCCCCGCGACCCTCTCCCGGCTGGAGAAGTGACGCGCGCCTATGGCAGGAGCCTCCATAGGCGCCCGTCATCTCTCCAGCCGGGAGAGCGCGCGCGGGGCTAAAGCAGCCCCCCGCGACCCTCTCCCAGGTGACGCGCGCCTATGGCAGGATCCTCCATAGCCGAGCGTCACCTCTCCAGCCGGGAGAGCGCGCGCGGGGCTAAAGAAGCCATAGCCCCGCGACCCTCTCCCAGCTGGAGAAGTGACGCGTGACTATGGCAGCAGCCTCTGAAGGATGCACCGAAGCCTGGCGTGGGGGGGGGGGCGGAGAGACCTTCTCCCCGCGCCAGCCTTCGGATGGCTGTCCTGAAGACTTGGGGTGGGAGAAGGGTTTTCCTTCCCACCGCCAACATTCAGAATGCTGTTCTGAATGTTGGCGGTGGGGAGGAAAAACCCTCCTCCCACGCAAGCCCCGGGAACAGAGGGAAAGCGCTGCGCGCCTTCCCCTCTGTTCCCGTACCTGTGCTGAAGGCTTGCGGTGGGGAGAAAAGCCCTTCTCCGCACCGCCAGCCTGGCAAGCGGTTTCCCTAGGAACGCATTAATTGATTTTCAATGCATTCCTATGGGAAACCGTGCTTCGCAAGACGAAAAACTCGCAAGAAGAAAAAACTTGCGGAACGAATTAATTTCGTCTTGCGAGGCACCACTGTATGCATGATGCCGGGACGCGGGTGGCGCTGTGGGTAAAAGCCTCAGTGCCTAGGGCTTGCCGATCGAAAGGTCGGCGGTTCGAATCCCCACGGTGGGGGTGCGCTCCCGCTGCTCGGTCCCAGCGCCTGCCAACTTAGCAATTCGAAAGCACCCCCGGGTGCAAGTAGATAAATAGGGACCGCTTACTGGCGGGAAGGTAAACGGCGTTTCCGTGTGCTGCGCTGGTGCCGGCTCGCCAGAGCAGCGATGTCACGCTGGCCACGTGACCCGGAAGTGTCTCCGGACAGCGCTGGCCCCTGGCCTCTTGAGTGAGATGGGCGCACAACCCCAGAGTCTGTCAAGACTGGCCCGTATGGGCAGGGGTACCTTTACCTTTACCTATGCATGATGCCATGATTCTAAATTGTAAATATACATTCAGGGCATACTTGAGGCACTCTCACATCCAGATTATTTCCTGAACTCCCCCAGTATTTCAAATATTTACATCTCATCCTTGTCGCTTTTCTGTTCATGGACTTTGCAAAGGAGAGTCCAGGGGTGACTATCTTATACTCATGTCATTGGCATGAAGAATAATTTCCATCCTCTTGCGTGGCAACATGGGATGACACTTGGCTTCAATTCCATCCATGTCACATAACCAGGATATTTAGGTTCTAGGCATATAGCTGCAAGTATTATTACTCCATATTCAAAAAATTATTTTTCATGTGTTTCCTCATGCTGCCTACCAATGTGCTAGAAACCTGAATTGGCAGGACTTTAGAGATTGCCAGCTGACGCCTCAACCGTGTCTCATAGAAATCCCCTGTGGCCACCTGCTCAGATCGCAGCGTTTTCGTTGCCACTTTGGCAGGTGACAAAGCAGCTGTCAGTTTCTGAACTGATATCCAGTCCTCGTCGCTCGTCATCACGGCTGCGTGTTGCCATGTCTTGACAAGATGGCTTTCTTCCATTTCAACACACACCACCTTTCCTCCAAAGAGTTCAGGCTAGCACACATAATTCTCACTCTCCCCGTTGTATCTTCACAACAACCCTGTGAGGTCAGCCACTTTAGCTGAGTGGGATTTGAAGTCCAGTCCCCAGCTCCTAGGCTGATATTGTAACTGCTACGCTGCACTGTCTCTCCGGACATCAGTTCAGGAACTGACAGCTGCTCTGCCAATCAGCCAAAGTCTCAACTAAAACACTGGACTCTGAATATGTTGTGGGCGAAGACCTACTTACTACAGATGCATTTTCAGTACAGCCAACATCAACACTGGGAAGCTGTCTGAGCAATGCAACCTAGGACAGTTATTACGCAGAAAAGAGCAGTGATGTTCTCTCACCTATTATGCCACCAAAAGGTCTTTGACAGAACCTTATTTCAAAATTTGTATTCTCAGCGTGCTTCCGCATTGCCTTGGCTGAGGGTTCCTACGGGCTTTTTGGCCATGACAATGCCTGCTATACCTTCCAACATTTCTCCGATCAAAATAGGGACATCATATTCCATAGTAGTAGTCGTTGTTGGAATATTTATATCCCCGCCGCCATCTGACTGTGTTGCCACAGCCACCCTGGATGACTTCCAACAGTGGAACCTCGGTTTTCAAACGTCTTGGCTGCTGAACGTCTTGGAAGCTGAATGCCGAAAACCCAGAAGTGAATGCTTCTGTTTTAGAACACGCCTCAGAAGTCAAACGGCTTCCGAGGCACATTTCTCTATTTTTTCAATTGAATTCTCCGCCCTCCCATTGAGCGTCGGTTGTTGAACGTTTTGGAAGTCGAACTGTCTTCTGGAACGGATTATGTTCGACAACCGAGGTTCCACTGTATATAAAAACATAATAAGACATTAAAAATTAAAAACCTTTCCTATAATAATAATAATAATAATAATAATAATAATAATAATAATTTATTATTTATACCCCGCCCATCTGGCTGGGCCTCCCCAGCCACTCTGGGCGGCTTCCATAAAAACCAAAAATACAGTAAAATATCACACGTTAAAAACTTCCCTGAACAGGGCTGCCTTAAGATGTCTTCTGAATGTCAGGTAGTTGTTTATCGCTTTGACATCTGCTGGAAGGGCGTTCCACAGGGCGGGCGCCACTACCAAGAAGGCCCTCCGCCTGGTTCCCTGTAGCCTCACTTCTCGCAATGAGGGAACCGCCAGAAGGCCCTCGGCGCTGGACCTCAGGTTAAGTACTTAATTCATTCCGGAGGTCCGTACTTAATCTGAAACTGTTCTTAACCTGAAGCACCACTTTAGCAAATGGGGCTTCCTGCTGCCGCCGCACCGCCGGAGCACGATTTCTGTTCACATCCTGAAGCAAAGTTCTTAACCTGAAGCACTATTTCTGGGTTAGTGGAGTGTGTAACCTGAAGCGTATGTAACCCGAGGTACCACTGTACAGGGCTGCCTTCAGGTGTCTTCTAAAGCTTGTATAGTTACTTATGTCCTTGACTCTGGGGATCACATAACTGCCAAAATTCCTCTGATGGAAACAGGGACATCCTAAGGAAAAGCGGGATATGCCAGCATCAAATCAGAAACTGGGATGGTTTCTGGAAATCCAGGACTGTCCCTGGAAAGCAAGGGACCCTTGGAGGGTCTGTGTTCCCTCACCTTTCTGGTTCCCCAGGCCTGTTCTAGACTTCACAATGGTTCATATTTGCAGAGCGCTTATGAGAAAGCTAATCTCTTGGCATGCACATAGAACAAAGGTTTCACACCTAGTTGTGTATATTTACAATGCATGCACTTAATGGAGGGCAACATGAAAGAATGAAGAGAGGCAACAGAGACTAAGGTGGTTTTGGCATGATCGATCCTACATATGAGTGCAAGTATGCTATAGACAGTGCTAGACAATTCTTGGACCAAAAATTATCCATTAATGAAGATGATTGTATATGAGGAGGTGAGAACTTCTCTTTGTTTCATTAAGTTTGCTTGAAATCTCCCTTGATTTCTTTCTGCTTTTTGTATTGCAACATCCAGCACAGACATTTATTCTGCCCTGAAGCACGATCCCACAGGGAGGGACATTCTTCTACTCCTTTGCATACATTTCCATCCTTGACACTTCATAACTCCCCCAGTTTTATCCCTGTCGTTCTGGAGGGGTTGTCTGGCGGTGAGAATATCCCAGAGGGAAAGGGAAAGGTTTCACGAACAGCAGCATCATGTTTCAGATTTGTTTGATTTGGCTAGTCTCAAGTTTCTTTGAGGGTAGGTTTTATGGCAGGGGCAGGCAACCTAAAGCCCTTGGGCCGGATGTGGCCCAACTGACTTCTCAATCCGGCCTGCGGATGGTCAAGGAATCAGCGTGTTTTTACATGAGTAGAATGTGTGCTTTTATTTAAAATGCATCTCTGGGTTATTTGTGGGGTCTGCCTGGTGTTTTGACATGAGTAGAATGTGTCCTTTTATTTAAAATGCATCTCTGGGTTATTTGTGGGGCATAGGAATTCGTTCATTTCCCCCCCCAAAAAAAATAGTCCAGTCCACCACATGGTCTGAGGGACGGTGGACCATCCCACTGCTGAAAAAGGTTGCTGACCCCTGTTTTAAGGGAAGTGTTGTTCTTCCTGAGTTTCTCCGGGAAATGGGCTGCCTTCACCATCTTCTTTTCTCTCCTCCTAGAATCCAGGGGGCAGATTGTCATCACTCAGACACCAGCTTCCCTACAGGCAAGTCCTGGGGACAGAGTCACCATCCTGTGCAGGGCTTCCTCTTCTGTCAACAGTAATATGGACTTCTATCAGTTTAAACCAGGGCAGAAACCCAAGGTGCTGATTTATTCAGGTTCAAGCCGTTTCGGAGAGACTCCGGATCGTTTCAGTGGCAGCCACAGCAACACTGACTTCTCCTTCACAATCAACGGTGTCCATGCTGAGGACGAGGCAGAATAACACTGTTTCCAACGCCAGAAGTTCCCACTCCACAGTGATACACTTCAGTACAAAAACCAGCTCGGTAGCCCAAGACGGCAGGAAGGAATGACGTTGGGTGTTCTGCATCAGCGGCATTCATTGGCCGAGCATCTTTTTTGAAGTCAGTAGGTGTGGCGATCACACAGGGTCCCCGGACGTTTGACGGTCTATTGATCCCTGTGCCACCACTGTGCTCGCTTCCCCGCTGCCACCAACCTGTCACTCTTGGGTACAACACTGAGTCCAGACAGTTGTTAAAAGTGAACAAACAAACAAAAAAAAACCAAGTTTATTTTACAAACATTAACAAGTTTATGGTTTCTCAGCCAATATTCCTGTCAGTATCTTAACTTTAGTTTCTTTACCGGCCTATACCTTCCCAATACCTTCTGACTGATTATCTCAATGGTTTGACTGACTCCTCTTAACAAATTCGCTTACTCTCTCACACCAGACTAGCCCAACCCACAGACTTATCTTCTCTGTCTCTTCTAACTCCAGACTGTCTTCTCAACAACTCTAGTAAAGGGACCCCTGACCATTAGGTCCAGTCGTGACCGACTCTGGGGTTGCAGCGCTCATCTCGCTTTATTGGCCGAGGGAGCCGGCGTACAGCTTCCGGGTCATGTGGCCAGCATGACTAAGCCGCTTCTGGCGAACCAGAGCAGCGCACGGAAATGCCATTTACCTTCCCACCGGAGTGGTACCTATTTATCTACTTGCACTTTTACGTGCTTTTGAACTGCTAGGTTGGCAAGAGCTGGGACCGAGCAACGGGAGCTCACCCTGTCATGGGGATTCGAACCGCCAATCTTCTGATCGGAAATTCAAGAGGCTCAACAACTCTAACTCCCTAAAAACCTCTGTGCTTAAAACTTATACACAGTTAACTCTGCCTCCTGGGTTCCCATTGGTTAGTCATTTTACAATTAGTTAACCCTTTCCCTATGAACCCAGTTAAATCCAGGTTAAATCCCTGATATTTCCAGCTACAGCACAAGGATGTGATCCCTGATCTAAAATCCTGGAGAGTCCTTTCAGACTTGGAGTACATGGACGGTGTGTGTGTGTGTGTGTGTGTGTGTGTGTGTGTTAAAAATCCCACCTGCCGGATCCAGTTCCTCACTCCTAACCTAGTTTGAAGAACATTTCTGGAGCACTCAAAAGCTTGCATGTTATGTGTTGACATTTGGGGCTGCCTAATTGCCCCGATTCATATTCAGAAAGCTATTTTTCATCTACTGTCTATATTGTTATGCTGCCTGCTAACATGATTTTTAAAAAAAAAAACCTGTACTGATGGTACTTCTGAGCTTTCCAGCTGACATTTCAAGCATGTCCCACAGAAATCCCCTGTGGCCACTTGTTCAGATTTCAGCGTGTTCGCTGCCATTTTGACAGGTGGCAAAGCAGGCGTCAGTTTCTGAACTGATTCCCAGTCATTGCCACAGGGCAGGAGGGGGCATACATTAGATTTGGTTCGCATTTAAAGGTGAACCTACCAGATTAGCACTTTCCCAAACTACATGAGAACCGAAACACAAGTTTGCTTAAGAATCTGCACTTATCTGAATTTTCCATAAATTTCAGCCACCAAACCACGTATACAAAAAAAGCATATATTTGGGGAAAGTAAGCACCAAATCAACATATTAGTGAGAATAACATACAAAAGCACATTCTGCTTAGGGGAAATTGCCGGAAAAAAAGATGTAAATTAGTCTAAACTCTCTAATGGCTTTACCACAGTGGCTCTCAAAATATTAGTTCAGCAATTTACATCTGCTTTGCCAATCTCAACTCAATGCCACAAACTGAATAGTATTTGGGAGAGAAGGCCCAGTTACACTCAGGGTATACAGTCGTACCCTGGTTGCCGAACGCCATGGAACTTGTACGTTTCAGCACCCGAATGATCGAAAACCATAAGTGAGTGTTCTGGTTTCCGAACAATTTTTGGAAGCCAAACGTCCGGCACAGCTTCCGATTGGCCGCAGGAGCTCACTGCAGCCAATCAGACACTGTGCTTGGGTTTCCAAACATTTTGGAAGTCGAACGGACTTCCGGAACGGGTTCTATTCGACTTCCAAGGTACGACTGTACTAGAAGAGTGTATTGGCTGCACTTTAGAGATTGCGGGTTGACACCTCAACCACGTCCCATAGAAATCCCCTGTGGCCAGCTACTCAGACTGCTGGTTTTCATTGATACTTGGGCAGGTGTCAGAGCAGCTGTCAGTTTCTGAGCTGATATCCAATCCTTATCACAGGTTACCATAGCTACCTGTTGCCATGCCTTGACAACACTTGCGTAGTTCCAACAGTCGCTCCAACCTACCATAGCTTCAGTGCCATCTTGAAGAGCTATCCAAGATGGATTTATTCTATTCTAACACCCGCACACCACGTTTCCTCCAAAGAGATGAGGCTAGCATGCTTAATTCTCCATCTCCCCATTATATCTTCACAACAATCTTGCGAGGTTGGCCAGGGTGAGAGAGTGTGATTAGCCCAAGCTCACCCAGTCCACTCCTTAGTTGAGTGGGATTTGAACCCTGGTCCCCCAACACCCTAGGCTGATACTGTCACTGCTTCAGGCACAAAACTGGAGCTGGCCTGAAAATATATCAAGGCAATATATTATTTCTGGAAAGATGAATTATTTTGTAATTCAGCAGGTCAGATCTCACTGTCTTGTATTTCAGAAAGTGAGGCCTTCTCATTTACTGCTGTCTGTGGGTCAGCAATGGGGCAGTGTGCCTTTGGGGCTGACAGTGGCGTAGCGTGGGGGATGCAGGGGGGGGCAGCCGCACTGGACGCAACATCTGGGGGGGGCGCGCTCGCACTCGCAGCTCTCTGCCCCTACCTGGCTCACTCACTCTCTCTCGCTGCAGTGCTGGCTGTGTGAATCCGATCCGAGCCGCTGGGTCACCGCCCACTGTGGAGGGGGGGTGCCAGGCGTGCGGTGCGGAGAGAGAGCGAGGGACTATCTGGGGGAGGGACAGTGCAGCGGCCACCCAGCGCAGCGCTGAGCGCGGGAGAGAACCACACCAGACCAGACCAGGCAGCAGCAAGAAGAAGCTGGCAGCGGCGGCAGGTTAGGGGTTAGGGGGCGCAAATGACTTGCCTTGCCCCGGGTGCTGACAACCCACGCTACGCCACTGGGGGCTGAAGTCAAACTGTTGGAAGGTTGCAGTGCCTCGTGGTTCCCTCTGCTTCATGAGCTGGAACCTCGACCACAGACATTTCTTGTGCCCTGAAGCACAATCCCCACAGGAAGGGACTCTCATCCCTTGCACCCCTTCAAGTCATTTGCATAGATTTCCATCCCTGACACTTAATAACTCCCCCAATTTTATCCCCGTCATTCTGAAGCTGGGTTGCTTGGTGGTGATAATATCTGGGAGCCAAGAAAGAGTGTCATCCGCAGCAGCAGCAACATGTTACGGATTTGTTTGATTTGGCTGGTCTCCAGTTTCTTTGCGGGTAACTTTGAAGAGCTGCGTTCTTCTCTCTGAATTTTTAAGGCAAATGTTGCAGATCCACTAACTTGTTTTATGCCTCTCCTTCCAGAATCCAGTGGGCAGATCATCACTCAGACACCGGCTTCTTTACAGGCAAGTCTTGGGGACAGAGTGACAATCCAGTGCAAAGCTGCCTCTTCTGTCAGTAACAATATGGCCTTATATCAGTTTAAATCAGGTCAGAACCCAAGCTACTGATTTATGGGGGTTCAACCCGTTTTGAAGGGACCCCTGATCGCTTCAGTGGCAGCTACAGCGGCAACGACTTCTCCTTCACTATCAACGGTGTCCATGCCAAGGACGAAGGGGAATACTACTGTGGCCAAGGCTACAGCTTTCCTCTCCACAGTGATACACTTCAGTACAAAAACCAGTTCAGTGGCCTAAGACAGAAGGAAGGAATGACTGTGGGTGTTCTGCAGCAACAGCAACAGCATTCTGCGGTAGAGCATCTTTTTCCAGGTCAGATTGTTCCAGGTTACATCCCTGGCACTATCAGCAACAGCAAAAGCGAGGAACCCCTGGCAAATACCCTGTTGAGCCCTGTCAGACTTGGATTACATTGACAGAGAGTGATATGGATGAATCCAGTACCTCTCTCCTAACCTGAATCCGAAGAAGAGTTCTGGAGCACTCAAAAGCTTCCATGTTATGTGTTGCATGTCATGTGTTGATATTCGGGGTTGCATAATTGCCCCAATTCATATTGGGCATCAGTTTCTGAACTGAGACTCAGTTTTTGTCACAGGTTAGGTTGGGGGATAAATTAGATTCAGTTCATATTTAAAGGCGAATTTACCAGATTTGCACTTTCCTGAACTATGTGAAAACAGTGACACAACCAGAAATTCACGCAGAATTTCCCCCATGAATTTCTCCCACCTAAACAAAGCATATATTAGGGGAAAGTGAGAAAAAAATTAACATAAAAGTGAAAATAACATGCAAAAATGCATCTTGTTCAGGAAAAATTGCTAGCAAAAGTGTGTACATTAGTCAAAACTGTATGCAAAAATATATTAATTAATCTTCGAAGAAGAAGAAGAAGAAGAAGAAGAAGAAGAAGAAGAAGAAGAATAGTAGTGGTTTGGATTTGATATCCTGCTTTATCACTACCCGAAGGAGTCTCAAAGCGGCTAACATTCTCCTTTCCCTTCCTCCCCCACAACAAACATTCTGTGAGGTGAGTGAGGCTGAGAGACTTCAGACTAGCCCAAGGTCACCCAGCAGCTGCATGTGGAGGAGCGGGGAAGCGAACCCAGTTCATCAGACTACAAGACTACCGCTCTTAACCACTACACCACACACAAACATCTGCACTTGTCTTGCTTGTAAATGGGTCTTCCTTGTAAATGGGTCTTGACTCAAGGAAGGGAAGAGTGTTTGTTTGTTTGTTTGTTTGTTTGTTTGTGTTGGGTTGTTGATTTTGTTGTTGTTCGCATGGATCAAGGCCTCAGGACTGTGAAAAGACCCAGCCCCTCTGAAATACCAGGACAGGACAATGACACAAGCGAAGACCACCAGGCACCCTTTCCTAGAAGTGTGAGGTCTGAAGAAGCAGAAGTAATAAAGTGTTTCGCAATGCAAATAATATGCTGGAAATGAGGCCTGAAGTGCCTCATTTGTTTTGCTCCACCCATATTCCATTCCTATCAGCTCTGGGCAGTGGTGATAAATCCTTAGGTGCCATTCTGGGGCTTCATTGGCAAGGACCTTGAAGGCTAGGCAGTGAACACCATGCGGGTTTTAATGCTTTTCCCCATAAGTCTCTTTTTCTGGATCCAAGGTAAGAAGAACAGTTGAAACAGATTTGATTATTTTTAATGCATCTGGTATTTGATATTTGTCAAAGATTTCTTGTTGGCCTTGATTTCTCTGAAAGACTATTCCAGTGCTAACTGTTATCATGTGAGGAGTCATATAGATTTTTCTCCCTATATCTAGATGCCAGAGGGGACGTTGTGGTGCTGACTCAGTCTCCAGAATCACTCTCCTTATCCATTGGAGATACGGTTACAATTAAATGTCAGACCGTTCTCAACATCGATGATGATATCAACTGGTACCAGCAGAAACCAGGGCAACCTCCGAAACTCCTCATCGCCGAAGAGCATAAACGCCAAAGTGGGGTTCCGGATCGGTTTAGCAGCAGTGGCTACGATACAGATTTCACCTTCACCATTAGTAACTTTGAAGCTGATGATGCTGGAGATTATTACTGCCAGCAAAGCGACCGCTTTCCTCTGCACAGTGATTCAAAGCAATACATAAACCCTTCCTCAGAAGCTTGCATCTGATATATCGGCCACTTGTTAAGCAGGGGGCAGGTAGGCTCTTCTTAGCTCTGTCGCGTGCGAATGAACCACAAAACTCTCTGAACAGTAACTTCTCCGGATGTCCTGGCAGCTGCCAATGAGGCATGAAGCCCTTGAACAGCCCCTCCCCCCCCCCCCCCCGTTCTACCTTAAAACATTTCACAGGGCACTTGTGAACTTTTGAGAAGAGCACTGTTCTCACACCAAGGATCGCTGCCTGAGAACATGCACACATGAAGCAATGTACCCAGGTTAATACATTGGCAGGGTTTTAAGATTACTGGTAATTTTATTATGATTCAAATGGTTAAAACTTTACAATGGACATGTAGTACATTGATAACACAATGGAACCAAGGAAGTCAATCTGTTTTGTTTTTGTTTTTATTGCTGTTTGTTTTATTCTTATTATTGTTGGGAAATTAATAAAATGTTATGAAAGAAAGAGAGAGAGAGAGAGCATGCACACATGAGCATATGCATTTTTATTTTCATTTTTAAAAAGTTAATTGTCCAGCTCAATTTCAGGCATGTGTTGCACTCACCCCAATCTCTGAGCAGGGAGAGACTCCAGGAGTGTCAGCGCTAACTTCCGGGTTTGGTTTCTGTAGTGGTTCAAGGGGTTGCTCGTGCATAAGCCGGTGCCCACACCTGGCTGGGTTGCCTATGTGAACCTTTTCTGTCCGGACAGCCACCCACCCATGGCTGTCTCAATCGCTGGCAGAATCGGTCAGTGGGCGTTTCTTTAACTTCTTCCAGCATAGAAGTTCTTTCACGCCCAGTCGCCTCCTACTTTCCCTGCGCGGAAGCCTTCTGCGCAAGGAAGGCGTAAGCAGCGGGGGACCCTTCCTCCCCTTCCTCCCCCCACTGGTCCCAGGCAAGGAGTCATGTGACTCCCTCTCAGATTCCCCCATCTGCCCCCCTTCTCCACTGGAGCTGAGCTGATTCCCCTCCCCAGAAGATGGGCTGCCTCTCCCAATCCCGTGACGCTCTCGGGATCCCTCTGGAGCTCTCTCTCTCCCTCCGGCACTGATGGCAGTTCCCTGACAGTTTCCTTGGAATGAAGATCAAACAGGAATGCTGTGCTGTTATGACATTGATACATACCATCTCAATATCCATGAGAGGTGCGAGATGCCAGGGATCTCAGGCGTGCTTTACCCAGGACGTGTGTTATCTTTTGAACACATGAGGCACAGCAGAGACTGTGGTGTCTTTATCATATATGGTTTATTTACACCTGAGCCTTGAAGGAAGAGAATCCCAGCATTAGATGCCAAGAAGGTCATTTGCTCTCTCATAAGCACAGCAGGCTTGGGTCTGCAAGCAGAGAAATGACCGCTCCCCGCATTAAACGGGGGGCGCCCTTTGCGTGGACGCGCGCAGCCCCTGGACCCGGTGAGGCTCCATCAGCACAGGCTTGGCTTCACCTTCCCCCAGGTGGGATACCTGGAGGTCTCCGCCTACCTCAGTCAGTTGTCCAATCCCGCCTGGGGGAAGCGTTGCCAGGAAGACCAGGCCAGGTAGGGGAGGAATTACCTGCCCACACAATAGAGGGAGGATCTTACCTGGGAATCCTCAGTTGCCTCCAGAGCTTCTCCCACCCTACCCACCCTCAGTTAAGTCTTATTTTGCAGGTTAACCTTTTCTTCACAGGTATGCGGGCGCTGCTACGTCAAGGTCGCTGTTGAAGGGCCGGAAAGGAATTCCCCTGCATTGGCAGGTTTTGCCTTTCCTGTAGCAAAACGTCACAACTTTGGCGGTATCAGGCCTTGGGTGGAATCCTTTAGGCTATCATCCTGAATGGGGGGAGGGGGCGTGCAGCGGTGACCAATGCCCCCTTCCTCTTTGCAGCGGCGATACCAGGGTTCCCCGTTAAAGGGGTTTCTGAGGGGAGGTTTTGACCGTACGCCGAGAGGTCGTCATTGCTCTCCCCTGCGACGACAGTGTAGCAGGGGCAGCTATCTCTGCTTGAACATATGTTCTCCAGAGCTGGCCTATCCCCCCCCCCACTGGATAACCCTACTGTTCCCTAGATCCCTGGGGAGGGATAACACCCAGTGCCTGAGTCAAGGCCTACCCACATCTGAAATATAATAACATTGTGGCCAATTTAATCTCATAGCACGTTGTCTTGAGTCGTTATTCCACATGGGGGGGTGCCCAGGGTTTGGGGGACTCCGCCTGCCCACATAATGAGCCATGGTCTGTGTCTTTGTCCCAGCCAGCCCAAGTAGTGTTTTATTCCTCCACCTTCTCTTTGCTAACACTAATAACTAACTCTTCCCAGCCTACGTCGTCCAAAACTGAAATCCCAAACCTTTCTTGGCCCTGCCCACTAACACACAGCTGGAGGAGGAGGCAGGTGATCGAGGCTGAAAATGACATTTCAAAGAAGGAAAAATGTACGTCGTCATGGAGGAAGGAGTAGTGATCAATTTTATGATTGCCAGATTAATGAAGTTTGCCAATGATTTCTGAATTGTTTTATCATTGTTATTGGCATATGAAATAAACAACACCTTATGGCAAAGAAAGTGCCCAGTTTTTCCTTTCCTTTTAGGGCAGTGATAAGATATATAAGATGCTGTTATAGTCTGAAACACACCCTGTGGATCATTTAAAATAATTGTGGGAGCATGAAGATGGAGATCGAAGACTCTTCCTCATCATCTGTGTGGGACAAACCACCATTTTGTTCTCTCCCAGCAAGAAACAAGGGACTTAAAATTGATTTGTAAATGATTCAGATTTGGATCATAAATAAACTTGGATTGCCTTTTTATTTATAATTTAAAAGGTCAGAAAACAGGAAATTATTTATGCAGAAGCAGGAGCTGAAAACAATCTCCATGTAATATTTACTTTCTGGAATGACTGGACTATTTGTTAATTTGAGAGAGCAAATCTTTGCATTAATTGGCTCCTTGGGTTCCTCCTACTCCATGAGCTGGAACTTCCACCACAGGTGGCGGTTCTGCCTTGAAACACAATCCTCGCAAGAAGTGACAGTCACCCCTTGCAACCCCACTATTCATTTGCATATATTTCCATCCCTGGCACTTGATAACTCTCCCAGTTTTACCCCTGTCATTCTGAAGCCGGGCTGCCTGGTGGCAATATTATCTGAGAGACCAGAGAAAAGGTTTTATAAAAGGCATCATCATGTTACCGATTTGTTTGATTTGGCTCATCTTGAGTTTCTTTGAGGGTAAGTCATAAGAGGTGTGTGGTTCTGTCTGAGTTTCTCAGGCCAATGTTGTGGGTTTTACAGTGCGCTTTTTGTTCCTCTCCTTCCAGGATCCAGGGGACAGATTGTCATCACTCAAACACCAGCTTCCATACAGGCAAGTCCTGGAGACAGAGTCACCATCGAGTGCCAAGCTTCCTCTTCCATGAGTGATGATATGGCCTTATATCAGTTTAAACCAGGACAGAAACCCAAGCTTCTTATTCATGATGCTACGAGCTGTTTTGAAGGGACCCCAGATCGCTTCAGTGGTACCTACAGTAACACTGACTTCTCCTTCACCATCAGCAGTGTCCATGTCGAGGATGAAGCAAACTATTTCTGTGGCCAAGACTACAGCACTCCTCTCCACAGTGATACACTTCAGTACAAAAACCACCTCAGTGCATTAAGGCAGGGGAGAGAAATGGAAGTTTGTGTCTTGCATCAGCACCCACCTTTCAGCTTGCAGAATGGGAGCAGGTGGGATGGAGATGGGAACTGGGCTGAGGGTCATGGGCATCTGTAGGTCAACCAACAGAAGGGCAGCTTGGACATGACCTTCTCTGAGGCAAGCCAGAGCCACCACTGTGAGGGAACAGGAGAAAGAAAAGTGGACACCAACGTCTGTGGAGCAGCTCAATCCGAGATGGCTCCTGACCTGAAGACTCTCCTTCCCCAAAGTTTTTAGGTCGCTGTTTCCTCCTGGCATTCTGGGCCCCATCGTGTACAGAAATAGACCAATCCCATACGACTGAGTTGAAAGAGGTCATGGCTTCAAGTTCTCTTCAGACTTCAGAAATGCTCCCAAATCATCACTGCCCCTTTTCTGAGCATGGACAGATTGAAGTCCACTGAGGAGATTCTCCTCATTGGCATGGGATTAAGTCCCCATCCTCTCCCATCGCTGATGTGCGATGATGCTTGGCTTTAGTCCTGTCTGTGAAACAGCAGAATGTTTATTTAGTAGTAATAATAATAATAATAATAATAATAATAATAATAATAATAATTTATTATTTATACCCCGCCCATCTGGCTGGGCCTCCCCAGCCACTCTGGGCGGCTTCCATAGAAACCAAAAATACAGTAAAATATCACACGTTAAAAACTTCCCTGAACAGGGCTGCCTTAAGATGTCTTCTAAATGTCAGGTAGTTGTTTATCGCTTTGACATCTGCTGGAAGGGCGTTCCACAGGGCGGGCGCCACTACCGAGAAGGCCCTCTGCCTGGTTCCCTGTAGCTTTGCTTCTCGCAATGAGGGAACCGCCAGAAGACCCTCGGCGCTGGACCTCAGCGTCTGGGCAGAATGATGGGGGTGGAGACGCTCCTTCAGGTATACTGGACCAAGGCCGTTTAGGGCTTTAAAGGTCAGCACCAACACTTTGAATTGTGCTCGGAAACGTACTGGGAGCCAATGTAGGTCTTTCAAGACCGGTGTTATATGGTCTCGGCGGCCGCCCCCAGTCACCAGTCTAGCTGCCGCATTCTGGATTAGTTGTAGTTTCCGAGTCACCTTCAAAGGTAGCCCCACGTAGAGCGCATTGCAGTAGTCCAAGCGGGAGATAACCAGAGCATGCACCACTCTGGCAAGACAGTCCGCAGGCAGGTAGGGTCTCATCCTGCGTACCAGATGGAGCTGGTAAACAGCTGCCATTTAGGTTCTTTGTATATTGTTGCAAGTATCACTTCACTTTCAAAAAAA